CTAGCTGCGTTAGCAGATGCCCTGCCTGGTGTTCTTGTTTGACCTCCCCAGCTGCTTTAGAGTAGGATCCTGGGTGTCTGAGTGATCAGGATGGCCTGCATCCTGACAAGAGCAGCCAGAAGCAGGGTCTGTGTTTCCCACATACTGTATTTCTAGGAATCATCTTTGGCTCGTCTCTTTTCTTCACACCCAGTCAGTTGCCCGAGTCTTACCTCCACAACACATCCTGCAACTTCCTCTTCCTCTTTCCTCTCACCTGGACTGTTATAAAAACTTCTGAACTGGTTTCCTGCCTTCAGTTTCTTTGCCTTCTAATCCATCCTTCATATAATAGCTAAAATAATCTGCCTGGTACACAGGCCTATTCTGTTTTTAAAATTGCAAATTCTTTAGGCTGGAATTTCATGCCCTCTGAAATATGTCCTTATTTCACACTCTTCTTCTTCGTTTATTCTGTGTTCTAGCCAAATTGAAATACTTGCTGTTCCTAGATCTGTTTCTGCATTTCCCAGCTTCTCTGCATCTGCTCATACTTTGCTCACCCTTGATTGACAAAATCCTTTTCTTCCTTCAAGGCCCAGTCAAATGCCACCAATTCCATGAAGCCTTCCCTAGTTGAAAGTAGCCTTTCCCTCCTCATATCTTCCTGGAGCAATTTGCTCGGCTACTTCCTTTCCATCAAATTTATGAATTAAGGGGGAATATGTGCTAAACCATGAGGACGTATCTATGGGAAAGCTCATCTGTTCACATTTTCTTGCATTTCATAAAAATCACATATTGCATGTTTTTCAAAATGACTAAAATAATAAATTAACTTTCTGATTTTTTTCTTTTAACGTTTTAGAAGATAAAGTCCAACCACTGACGAAGAAAAAACCGTATACAGAATATACAGTTACAAAAGATCGCAGAAATGACTTTGAATCAAAGACATCTGAATTTTGTGCAACCCCTTCAAATGCTGGTACTGAGAATCCATGGAATTGTCATCCTAACTCTCAGAATTCAACTCCACATCATGTCTCATCCAACTATGTAGCCTGCCAATCAGGAGAGCTCTTAGAGGGAACATTGATCTCCCCTCAGCACGACAGAAACTGTAACAAAACCACATCAGGTTGTAACCAGAATAACTCTTTGATTCAGAGTATAGAGATAGAAATGCCTAAAACTTCATTAGACTATCTGGGACCACCAAGGATTATTCCTTCTAATAATGGGATTGCTAGATTCATGCCTCGAACAACTCAGCTGCAAGAGCGAAAGCGGAGAAGAGAAGAAGACCGTAAACTTGGAACTTTTCTCGAAACAAGCCCAAGAAATAATGAAGTTATTATTGGGCCACAGCTACCAGAAATCCCCAAAGTGGATATGGAGGATGAGTCTTTAAATATGTCAGCTAATTTAATCCGGAATAAACTTAAGGAGGTATGTACATTTTTGAAAGCTACTTTGAAAGAATATTTCATTTGTTAAACCTTAAAAGCAACTCAAAAGAGCATTATCTGGGGCTTTTAATAAGCTATATTATTCACTTTTTACATTTATGGTTTTCCCTTCAAACCATATTGATTGTTAACAAAATAGTTCAATATAAGACTGAAACATTTTTGCTTTTCTGTCAATCCTTGTTTTAAAAGCATTGGAGTGATTATTTTACTATTTAGCTTAATAAACTTAAAGAACATTTTAAGAAATTGTTTTACCTCAAAATTCAGTTTTTTTGTTTTGTTTTAACTTGTATGTTGATTCTAGCCTCTTCTTGAAAGGGGGAGAAGAAACCCTATAAGGAACCTGTCTCTAAGGACTGGGCCTGTAGGTCCACTTGTAGATTTTAGAATTCTTTCACATTTAACCCTTTGATTCTTTTTAAGCATTAAGGTTAGATTGGGTAGGTGATCTCTGTAGATCTTAGCCAATGTTGGCATAGGTTAAAAACGAGTATGGATGATAAAACTTCCATTTTGTTTTGTTTGAACTACTTATCCATTGGTTTCTTCCCTGCTGTCTATAAGAATCACCATATTTCCCCCATCCTTAAAAAACCTTCTCCTAATCCCTACCTTCCCCTCACACCATCATCTTTTCCCTGCACTTTCAGAGCCAAACTCCTGGAAACAGCTCTATTTTTTGCCTGCAGTACTTTACCTCCTACTCATTTTCATCCCCTTGCAATCTGACTTTTGAAACTACCTAAATTTTCTAAATTTCAAGGTCACCAATGATCTCTTGGTCTTTTCGCAATCCTAGTCTTTCTTGACTTCTTTTGCAGACTTTGAAACTGACCACTTCTTTCTTATGGATACACTATTTGTGATATTATTGTGATCACTAGCAACATGGTTTCTTCTTGTTTGTGCTTCTTATATGTCAGACTGCTTACTTCTCTATCTTCCTTGCTGAAGGTGTAAATCCCAAGGCTCCCTTTCTTTCTCTTGGACCCCCTCCTTTCAATTAACAGGCCTTAAGCATTTACTATGTTCCAGGTACTCCACTGGGCACTGGGGAGATGAAGGCAGTGAAGTAACCCCTGGCTGCAAGAAGTTGACATTCTACTAGAAGAAACGAAAGTGTGCAGCTATAAGTAAAAATAAATATAAAGTTAACTGGGGGTGGGAAGGAGGGCCCCTAGCAGCTGAAGAGATCCAGAACCACCTTATGTTGAAAATAATGCTTGAGGTGACCTTTGAAGAAAGCTAGGGATCGAGAGACCAAGGAGGGCATGGGGACGGCCAAGTGCAAAGATGTAGAGATGTTACCTTGGCAACTGTGAAGGATGGATTGGAGAAGAGGGAGATTTGAGGCAGAGAAGACAACTAAGGGGCTTTGGCAATGGTTCAGTCAAGGGGTGATAAGGGCCTGAGCAGGGCTATAGCTACAGGAATGGGGAGAAGGGGACAAATACAAGACTTGTTGCAGAGGTAGAATTAACAGGACTTGGCATAAGAAAGAGTGAAGAATCCAAGATGACTAGAAGAATGGTGGTACTGTTGACAGGCAAGGTGAAGTGTGGAAGAGGTGGGCTTTTCGGAAAGCTAATGAGTTTGTTCAGGATACGATGACTTGAAATTTCCTCTCGCTCTGTCTTGCTTTTTGCCTCCCATGGAGTCAGCTGTCATCACTATGCACATGACTAGAACTCTGTCTAGCCCTAGACATCTCCACCTGAAACCATGGATATCTCAGACTGAGCATGTTCAAAATAAAACTCCTTTTCTTTTCCCCCGAGTCCTTACTTTCATCTTAATTTCTCTGTTGCTGTCGAAACACTGTCCTTCTAGTCATCTGGGTTCACAACCTCAGAGTCATTCTTAACCGTCTCATAGCCAATGACTTGCTACGTGTTGTGCAGGTAAAATCTACAAGACCTTGTCTCCATCCCTTTTCTTCACTTACATGGCTATCACTTCCCTCCAGAATTATTGAAATAGCCTTCTGATTGGTGTCCTTGCCTCCAGCCTCTCCCATCTTCAATCTATCAGCTGTTGATCTGATAATCCTAAAGGACAGGTCTGTGTACTGGTGTCACTCCCCTCATTCAAGAAGCATCTGTGGATTTCCATTCACTTCTTGGCATGTGAAGTTAAGATCTAGTTCCAAACTATCTTTTATTTTTAAAAATTTAACTTGGTTTTTTTCAGTTAACAAATCTTTTTTTTTTCCCTATCTCCCCTCAACCCTTGAAAAAGAAAAACTGAGACCCTTCTAATAAGGATGTGTAGTCAAACAAAACAAATTTCCTCTCTGGCCACATCCAAACAGAACATGTCTCCATGTGCCCCCGAGTTGATCACCTTTCAGGAGGTGGACAGCATGCTTCATCCATCCAGGTCCTCTGGAATCCTGTGGTCATTGCATTGATCCTATCTTCGCTCACATCACTCTCTTTCAGTTCCTTCAAGTCATCCCAGGTTTCTATGGAGCTATCCCATCTTCATCATTCCCTAGGCTATAGTAGTCTCCCATTACATTCATATGTCCAGTTCTTTGCCTCTACAGAGAAGACCTTTGTGTATATGGGTCCTTTTCCTCTTTCTTTTAGGTCTAGTAGTGGTGTCATGGGATCAAGGGATCAAGCTATCTCTACAGACATTTCATGTTACTCCCTTCACATATTCTGTGTTCTAGCCACATTGACCTGCTTGTGATTGATTCCTTGTACCCAACACTTTATCTCTTACCTCCACACCTTTGCACAGGCTGTACCCCAGGCTTGGAATAATCTCCCTCTTTACCTCCACCTCTTAAAAACTTTAGAATCATTTGGCTTGTTTTTCCCGAGAAGTATTATCCTTACACCGGAAAGGACAGAATTAAAATAGCTGAAACTTTCCAAGGAAATGTGTTCCATCTCTTTGTGGGCCAACAGTGTTCCTCTGCTATCCTATTTCTATTCTTTGAACTCCACTCAGCTTCCCCTAAAGTGTTTGGTAAAGAGGATGGAGTGAAGTTGTGTTTGCTGTACTTCCCCCTAGAACTTCATTAACATGTGTGCCAAATAAAAAGAAGCGGGAAGAAAACAATTCTTTGTGGTTTTTTTTTTTAACTAGGTAAGTTCTTCCCAACCAACACCTTCAGAGGACAAGCTGGAAGATACATGTAAAAGTCGTCCGTTAAAACAAAGAAGAAGAATATAGAAGACAATAGATCTTGAAATCAACATCTTACCTTTTCCAAAAAAGATCACTTAAGTTATTTAAATTGATGACTTTTATTAATGTCTCTGTTTCATATTTGTATGTCCTTTGAACATTAAAGTAAATGATTCAATCTCATCTTTAAAATTGGAGTCCTGTTTGTATTTGCTGAGACATAAATGTCTTATTTTGGTTTATTTTAAAAATATAGACACTCCATTTTGATTTTCACATTTATTATGCTTCTGCCTTAAAATGACAAACTACTTCATGTATATGAATGTCTAGTATGAGTAATAATTTACTGTTTAAAGCAGCCAGGATCCAATTTTGATTTGTGTTTCCCTGGGGTTCAGCTGTTTACAGTTGAAATTCATTGTTTATGTCTTTGAATACCAGAGTTTCAAATTCAAGACACTTCTGGAAAACAAAATGGGCCATAATTGAATGTGTTAGAATATACAGTGTTGCAATTTAACAAGAGACTCATTGAAATATTAATTTTGCTAAAATTTTAATTTTTCCCACTTTTCCTTGTATCCAGACCTAGTTTAGAGAGAAAACGGCTTGAGCTGTAGTTGGAAAGAAGTTGGTGATGTCTATAGGGAGGACAACCGATGGACTGTTCAAAAGCCATCTTTAAGACAAGCCATCAAGGCATCCAGATTTCTCGCCCTGTCATCCCCACACTCTCTTTAACTTTGAGGTCCTTGTTTTGGACCAGACCTATGATTTCCTCATGTAGGGAGCTCCCCATGAGGCAGTTCCTCTAACAGTGCCAGTCGGCAGACACTAGCTCTGCCATTTAGAGCCCTAAAGAGTAGCCAGGGGCACTACCAGATTAAAAGACTTGGCCACTCATACAGCCACCAAAAGTCAGAGATGTCTAGTCTCTGACTTTGAACCAAGGTCTTTTTTTTTGGTTTGTTTTTTTTGTTTGTTTTTTTAAGGCAATTGGGGTTAAGTGACCTGCCCAGGGTCACACAGCTAGTAAGTGTCAAATGTTTGGTCTGAGGCCAAATTTGAACTCAGGTCCTCCTGACTTTAGGGCTGGTGCTCTCTCCACTGCGCCATCTAGCTGCCCCTGAACCTAGGTCTTAATAGTGCCATGCTTAGTATCCCTTTATACTTGCTTCTCTTGAGTTCTTCTCATCCCCAGCATAATGTCATCTCCCTGAAGGCAGGCACTGCTTTCTTTCTGTTTCTGTATCCCCATTTCCTAGTAGTGTCTTGAACATAGTAGGCACTAACTACTTGTTGAATTGAATATATTCTTCCTATAGTTAAAGGGAATTCTTTGCAAAGAACTGGCAGCTTAATGGAGCCTGTACTCCTCCCACAGGTTAACTCAAGTTCCTTCAGAGCAGATTCTAGGTAGGAGGAATAAAAACCTTATGTCTGCCATATTTAATGCAAAGAACAAGGGGGCTTTATTGGAGGAAGTGGTCTGCTCGGGGTACTCTCTTGGGTCTTTGTGGGTGTGGGCTACTTATTCTAGTTCCCCTCTTCTAGGGTAGGTTTATGGCATGCATTAAGGGGGATGGTTTGTTAGTACCTCAATTTCTGGTAAACATGGGCCAAAGACCTCCAACAAAAGCCAGTCTTTTTTTACAGCTCGTTCAAAGTCTTCATAAGACAGCTTCCCATCGTTATCACAATCCTAGGAAGGAAGATGAGCATTTCTTAGCATATCATCATAATTTAAGTGAGCATTTTATAGCACTTTAAGGTTTACAAAGCCCTTTACAGGTATCTCATTTTATCCTTACAACAACCCTCGGAGATAGGTGCTTTTATTATCCCCATTTTACAGATGAAGAAACTAAAGCAGACAGAGGTTAAGTGATTTGCCCACAGTCACACAGCTAGCAAGTAGATAAGGTCAAATTTGAACTCAGGTCATCCAGGTCCAGCACGCTCCACCATGCCTTCCCATCACTCCCCTTCAGTCTTCAGTGAGTTTGGTACCTGGCTCACAATTCTTTTTCTAGATCTTGCCCTCATACTTGGGAGGACTTTAGCATACGTATTGACTCTCCCTCAAAAACCATAACCATTCATTTCCTCAACCTACTCACCTTCCGTGAGCTGCTCCTTCATCTGACCTCAGCCATACACAAAGATCTCATACTCTTGATATTGTCTTCACCCACAAATGTACCTACCTCCATGTTCAAGAATTCCAAAATCCCTTTATCTGGCCATAATCCGTTGACTTTTCACCTCTCCCTCTGCCTTCCCTATATAATCCTACTCTTCATCCTCACTGGGACCTCCAATCCCTTGACCCTTTAATTCTCTTCCAGGCGATCTCCCCTGCACTGGCCACCTCCTCTTCTCCTCGTCTTGACTCCTTGGTGAACCAATTCAACTCTACCCTCTCCTCTTCTCTTGGATCCCTTGCTCTCTTATAGTTCTGATTACACCCAGCCAAAGTCTCAGCCCTGTATTATTCCACCATCCATCACACACACATGCTGCTAAAATAAGGTGGAGAAAATCATGGAATTGTTCCAACTGGGTCCACTACAAATATATGCTGCATAACCTCAACTAGGCCCTCACTGCTGCTAGGCAATCCTGCTATACCTTCCTTATCATCCGGCTATCCCACTCTTCAAATCTTCTCATCCCTCTTCAAACCCCACCTCCTCCCACTCTCTCAGTTGAGGACCTTGCCTCATCTTTTACAGAACAAATTTAGACCGATCACCACGAGCTCTCTTTTTCCCTCTTTCTCATCTCCTATCACTCAGGTGCTTTCCACCACTCTCTCCTCCTTCCCTTGTCTCACATGATGAAGTGGCCCTACTCCTGACCAAGGCTACTGATCCCATCCCATCACTTCTGTAACAGATTGCCCTTCTTGTAATTTTCAACTTCTCCTGTCTACTGACTCATTTCCTCTTGCCTACAAACATGCCCACGTCCCCTTATCCTCCAGAAACCCTCGTTTGAGCCTTCCACCCTCACTATCATCCCATATTTCTTCTGCCCTTTGTGGCTAAACTTGAAAAGGCCATCTACAACCAGTGCCTCTCACTCTCTTCTTAACTCCTTACAGTCTGGCTTCTGACGTTACCATTCCACTGGAACTGCCCTCTCCAGAGTTACCAGTGGTTTCTTAGTTGCCCAATTCAGTGGCTTCTTCTCCATGCTCATTCTCCTTGACCTCCCTGCAGCCTTTGACACTATGGGTCACTCTCTCCTCCTTGATACTCTCTTCTCACTATGATTTCAGGACACCCGCTCTACTGGTTCTCTTCCTATCTATCTGATCACTCCTCTGTCTCCTCTGCTGGATCCTCCAGATATAACTGTAGAGATCCCTCAGGATTCTATCCTGGGCTCTCTTTTCTTCTCCCTCCCTACTATACTTGGTGTTTCATCTCATCAGTTCCCAGAAGCTCCTTGAGGCCAAAGTGTATCTTTGGGCTCTTTTTGTGTTGCCTAGGCCAAGCACAGTGCCTGGCACGTGGTAGTAGGCACTTAATAAATGTTTATTGGCTAGTAACTTGTGCCACCCAGATGTGTGTGTGTGTGTGTGTGTGTGTGTGTGTGTGTATATATGTATTAAAAATAAGAACTTACATCTAGTTGAGGTATACAAAGTATATCAAATATATATATGTGTGTGTGTGTATACATATATACACACCCATATGTACATATACATATATGTGCATACATGAAAGATGTGTATATTCAGCAGTGTTTAACTATGTAAGAAAAACTACTAACAGTACAACTAATTCAGACTGCTAAAAATGTTTTGTTTTTTTTTTAATCTAGTCTCAGACACTAGCTATATGACCCTGGGCAAGTCACTTAACTTCTGTTTGCCTCAGTTTCCTCAACTGAAAATGGGGATAATAGCAGCACTTACCTCCCAAGGAGGTTGTGAGAATCTCATGATAGGATGTTAATAAAATGCTTAGCACAGTGGCTAGTACATAGAAAGTGCTTAATAAGTACTTTGTTTCCTTCTTTCCTATTAAAAAAAGGACAGGAGGTTGACTGAAATTTGCCTTTGTACTATTTATAAGATTTCACCAAATGGACTGATAAAAGATCACACTATTGTTGGCCACTAAATCATCTCATATTAAAGGGCCAAGTATTTGGGGAGAAGCTACTCCATTATTTATGCAAAGCTGTATGTGCTAAGCACATGGAGAGTTACTAAGGATAGGACATGACCCCTTCCTGAAAAAACTTACATCTAGTTGAGGGACACAAAGTACATCAAATAATTAGCAAAATTGTATAATCAAGCTCTAAATTTTATAGTAAGATCAGGAGTTAGATAAGGGAAAGTACAGTGTGTGCCAGAATTACAAAAGAAGACCTCGTGGATTAAAAAACACTCCAGCTGGTCCTTAAAACATGAGTAGAATCTGACCAGACAACAGCTGTATGACCCTGGGCATGTCTTAAATCTAAATCTTAAATCTAAACCTCTCTTGGCCTCAGTTTCCTCATCTGAAAAATAAAAGGGGTTCCTACTCTTCATTTGATCCTCAACAACCCACCCAGAGAGGCAGATAATATTTCACAGGTACCCGAATTTTATAGATGAGAAAATTGAGGACCAGGTTATTTCCATTTTACAGATGAGAAAGGTTAAGAAAGATTAACTTTGCCAATGGCCCCACAGCTAGCAAGTGTCACAGGGAGGATGCAGACCCAGGCTATTCCTGACACCTAGTCCAGCACTCTTTCAACGCTATGCTGCCCCCTCCAATGCCCATTTATCAAGATTAATTTAGCAGTAGGGGTGTGGAAGAATTGGAGGGGAGGTGTCAAGGGAAACCAGATAAGAGACTTGTAATAATCCAGGCACAGGCCCTGGACTAGAAACTAGACTTTGTCCCAAAAAATGACATTTTAGGAAAGACTGAGTGAAAGAAAGAATGAATCAAACAAAGCTGCCTTTGTTTGATAATGAATCGCACCATCTAATCCCCTAAACTTCTATTTTATCTGTTGCTTACGGTGGAAAAACAAGTCAATGTTTAGATTTGTTTTCTTCCTAACTGCCATCCTCCACCCTCTGTTCAGAAGACTAATTGCCATTTTTTTTTGTGTACTCACCATTTTCTTCAGTGTTATTTCTACTAACTCTCTTACTCCTTCATCCGGATCTTCTTCAACTGAATGTTTGAGGAGACTGGTCTTCAGCATGTCAAACATTTCATCTTGGGAAATGTATCCATCCCCATTCAAGTAATAAACTCGGTAACAGTCTTTTTAAAGCATAAGGAAAAGCATTGCTTTTAGATGAACAATTAACATTGTTTCATTTCCTCCTTAACTCTCACAATGCATCGTAGCATCACTATTATATTCTATAAAATATAGGAGGCAAAGTAGCCCAATGGAAAGAGCGCTGACCTTGGCATCATAGGACCTAAGCTGGTCCTCAACTGTATTCAGTGTTGGACTGGATGACCTCTAAAACTCCTTCCCGCTCTCCCTCTATGGCTTGGTACTATTTGCAAATGGAATATAGCAGCACCTTTAAAACACATTCTCAACAATTAAGTAGGACTTATACTAGGAACCCAAGGATTATTCAACATTGGCGAAACAACAAGCATTTCAGAAAAATTTGCAAATCATGGGATCATGTCAGTAAATGTAGAAAAAGCTATCGATAAGATGACATCCATTCATGATTGAAAATAAAACTAAGAAGAATAGGTAGAAACAGATTTTCCCCTCCTTACACACGAAAAAGTATTTACTTGAAAACTAATGGAAAACATTAAGAAGCTGGGCATGCTTATACATACCAGTGATCTTTGCTAAGGGGGAGTTTGAGCAGCTCTTGAGCTCTGGAGTTCCAAGCTGCAGTGGGCTATGCCAATCAGGTGTCTGCACTAAGTACATCATCAGTGTGATGAGCTTTTGTGTGTGACTGTGGGAGGGGAGGGGAACCAGGTTGCCTAAAGAGGAGTGAACCAACCCAGGTAGGAAACAGCAACTCCAAGCTCCCATGATAATCAGATTGAGACTGGGTCTATTGGTAGTTCCCAAACTTCCAGATTGGGCAAGATAAGGAGACCCAGCATTTAAAACAAAAATAAAACATTAAGCACATTACCACTTTAAACAGATACAAAATAAAGCTGCACACTCTTCCTACTTTTTTTGACAGAAGAAATGTGAAAAATCACAGTAAGATTGGAAAAAAACTAGAAAATGAAGTGGTAGAAACATTATTATTTGCAGATGTCATGATTGTTTTCCTAGAAAATGCACACATCTCAGGAAAAGAAGAGAATTTATCAAGGTTGCAGGATATAAGAGAAATCCATTAAAATTATCTGCATTCTTGGCAGAACCAAGATGGCAGAGAAAAGGTAGGGACTTGCCAGAGTTCTTCCAAATTCCCCTTCAGAAAACTTTAAATAATGTCTTAAAGTGAATTCTGGAACAGCAGAACCCACAAAAGGATGGGTGGAAACAATTTTCCAGCTCGAGACAACTTAGAAGGTTGGCAGGAAAAGTCCATTGCACCAGGTGAGAGTAGAGCACGGTCAGCAGTCAGCGCAGTTCAGCTGTCCAAAGCAGGCAATGGCCCTGTAAGACAGTAGCAGATCTTGGGGGCAATTGAATCGGCGGCAGCAAATTCTGGAGCTCTCAGGCTACGGATGGCAAGGGGGCAAGACAACTGGTCAGAAGGAGATTTATAGGGGTCTCTTTGCTGGCATTGGACGCAGAACTCTATTGCATTGCCCATATGTGGATACGGGTTGCCATCCTGGATCAAAGTCTCAGAGTGAGGAAGAACACTAGCACCCCAGAGCTTGGGGCCAGAGGGGAATGGTGACCTTGGTTACAGTTCCAGGGTGGAAAAGAATGCTTGTGGTTGCTCACAGAACAGAGCACAGGCCAGGAGAGTAGTAAACACACCTCTCCTTAGACCATACCACTTTGGAAGGACTGAAAACTTATAGACTCCCAGAACTAGTTCTGAGGGCAGCAGTATGAAAAACCTAAAGCCTGGGACAGGGCCCCCTGCACCCTGGGAGCAAAGCCCAACTTTAACATAAAATTAAAAGTTAAGAAATAGGATGAGAAAAGGAGCAAACAACAACATCAAAAAAGAACCTGACCACAGAAAGTTAGTATAGCGATAGGGAAGCTCAAAACACAAACTCAGAAGAAGACCACAAAGTCAAAATACCTACATCTAAAGCCTCAAAGAAAAATATGATTGGTCTTAGGCCTGAAAAGAATTGCAGGAAGAGTTCAAAAAGGATTTTAAAAAAATAATAGAGATAGATGAAAAAATGAGAAAAGAAATGAGAATGATGTAGGCAGATCATGAAAAAATAGTCAACAGCTTGGTAGAGGAGGCACCAAAAAAAAAACACTAAAGAAAATAACACCTTAAAAAACAGAATAGGCCAAACGGCAAAAAAGGCACAAAAATACACTGGTGAGAAGAACCCCTTAAAAAGCAGAATTGGCCAAATGGAAAAGGAAGTACAAAAGCTTACTATAGAAAATAATTCCTTAAAAATAGAATTGGGCAAGTGGAAGCTAATGAGTCCATGAGACACTAAGAAATAATAAAACAAAATAAAAAGAAAAAAAAGAAGAAAATGTGAAATATCTCATTGGAAAAACAACTGACCTGGAAAATAGATTAAAGTGAGATAATTTAAGAATTATTGGACTACCTAAAAGCCACGATCAGAAAAAGAGCTTTAGACAACATATTTCGAGAAATTATCAAGGAAAACTGCCCTGATATTCTAAAACCAGAGGGTAAAATAGAAACTGAAAGAATCCATTGATCTACTCCTGAGATCCCAAAATGAAAACTCCCAGGAATATGATAGCCAAATTCCAGAGCTCCCAGGTCAAGGAGAAAATATTGCAAGAAGCCAGAAAGAATTCAAATATCATGGAGTCACAGTCAGGATAACAGTTTTACTGTTTATTATTTAGCAGTTTCTACATTAAAGGATCAAAGGGCTTGGAATATGATATTCTAGAGTGTGAAGGAGCTAGGATTACAACCAAGAATCACTTACCCAGCAAAACTGGGGGAAAAAAAGAACATTGAGCAAAATAGAGGACTTTCAAGTATTCCTGATGAAAAGAGAAGAGTTGAATAAAAAATGACTTTCAAATACAAGATTCAAGAGAAGTATAAAGGTAAACAGGAAAGAGAAATCATAAGGGATTCAATAAGATTAAACTGTTTACATTCCTCATGAGAAGATTATACTTGAAATTCCTAAGAACTTTTTCATTATTAGAGCAATTAAAAGGAGTATAGATTGAAAGAAAGCATGGGTATGAGTTGAATAAGATGGGATGACATCTAAAAAAAATAAAACTAAGAGATAGAATGAGAAAGAAGATTGCATTAGGAGGGAAGAGGTAGAATGGGGTAAATTATTTCACATAAAAGAGCTTTATGGTGGAGAGGAAAATGGTGAGGGGGGTGGACAATGCTTGAAACTCACTCTCATCATATTGGTTTAAAGAGAGAATAACATATATACTCAGTTGGGTACAGAAATCTATTTTACCCTACGGGAAAATAGGAGGGGAAGGGGATAAGACAAGGGGGAGGGGCTGATAGAAAGGAGGGTGGATTGGGGGAGGTGGCAGTCAGAAGCAAAACACTTCTGAGGATGAACAGGATGAAAGGAGAGAGAGAGAGTAGGATAAACAGGGGGAAAATAGGATAGAGGATAATACACAGTAATTATAAGTACGAAAAAAATGTGTAGCAAGTTTCTCTGATAAAGGCCTCATTTCTCAAATGCATAGAAAACAGAGTCAAATTTATAAAAATAAGAGCCATTCACCAATTGATAAATGGTCAGAACATTTAACAGGCAGTTTTCAGATGAAGTAATCAAAGTTATCTATAGTTATATGAAAAAATGCTCGAAATCACTATTGATTAGAGAATTACAAATTAAAACAACTCTGAGGTACTACCTCATACCCATCAGTTTGTCTAACATGACAGAAAAGGAAAATGACAAATGCTGGGGGGGGATGTGGGAAAATTGAGACATTAATGCATTGTTGGTGAAATTCTGAACTGATTCAACCATTCTGGAGAGCAATTTGGAACTATACCTAAGTTGTGGCATATGATTGTGATGGAATACTATTGTATTATAAGAAATGATGAGCAGAATGCTCTCAGATATACCTGGACTTACATGAACTGAAGCAAAGTGAATTGAGCAGAACCAGAACAGTGGACACGGTAACAGCAATACGTACAATGATCAACTGTGAATGACTTAGTTCTTCTCAACAATACAATTATCCAAGACAATTCCAAAGGACTTATGATGAAAAATGCTATCCATCTCCAGAGAAAGAACTGATGGAGTCTGAATGAAGATTTAAGCATACTTTTTTTTTTACTTTATTTTTCTTATCTTTTTTTGTCTCTTTTCTTTTATAACACCATTAATATGGAAATGTTTTGCATGATTGCACATGTATAACCTATATCAAATTTCTTTCCTTCTCAATGAGGGGGGAGGGAAGAGAGGAAGGGAGAGAATTTGTAACTCAAAATTTTAAAAAATGATTGTTAACAAATGTTTTTACATGTAGTTGGGAAAAGCGAAATATTAAATATATTGAAAATTATTTGCATTCTTACAGGATGATAATAAAGATCAAGAAAATATTGAACATGACAAAAGAAATTTATTTTAAAAAATAATATTTGCAAATGTAGCTAGACATATGATCTTTATAAAGATAACACTAAAATTTCATTAAAAATAAACAGGAGGTTTAAATAACTGAAGAAAATTCAATGTCTGCAGAAGTCAAATCAATATGTGAAAACGTGAAAAATACCAATAATTCCTACATTTACTATTAATTTAATGCATCACAATGGGCTTCATTATTGTTGTTGTTGTTTTGTCATTTTCAGTTGTGTCCAACTCTTCATGGTTCCATTTGGGGGTTTCTTGGCAAAGATACTGAAGTAGTTTGCCATTTCCTTCTTCAGCTCATTTTACAGAGGAAAAAACTGAGGCAAATTGGGTTAAGTGACTTGTCCAGGTTAAGTGTCTGAGGTCAGATTTGAACTCAGGAAGATGAGTCTTTCTGATTTCAAGCCTGGTACTCTATTCAGTGAGCCACCTAGTTACCCACAGGTCTTCATTACAGAACTAAATAAAATCATAATGAAACCCAGATATGGAAAAATTGGCAAAAATAGCAATGGCACATTTTGATGAGGGGGAGCTGGTAAGAGTATACCAGCCTTCACAGCTTTTAAAGCATTATTAAATAATTGTTAAAACTATGAAATCTTAGGCAAAAACAAACAAACCTAGATCAGTGGAACAAAATATAAATGTCAGAAATAGAAAAAAATGTGTACAAAAGATGACTTTTACAGAAAAGGTTAAGTGTTACTCTTGGACAAATGGTTAAAATTCTGGAAGCAGTGAGCTGGGTAAGGGAATTATTTTACGGGGTCAGGTTGTTTATTTTGTTTTTGAAATCACACCATGTCTGCAGCATTTCTACAGCCAGCCCAGGTGAGGCACTAAAACCATTTAATTGGTTAAAGATTTAGAGAATGCTGATATACCAGCTTTTAAAGCACTGAAGGATGAAATCAAGACTAGTTATGATTGCCTAAAATCATACCCATGCCAGAAATTCTTACATTTTACTTTTTCTTCAAAGGTTCCTCGGAGAAATATGGATAATCCTTCGACCCACTCAGTTGTACTAATGTGATTATCGTTGTCTTTGTCAAAAGCACCAAATACTGAAATGTAAAGAAGGTATAGGCTTATAGGTACTGCAATTTAAAGACAAATTCTAATTCTTTCTTATTCTTGTTATAATTCCATGGTACCCATAGTAGATCAAGAGTTTTTTACTCGGGGTCTATGTATTAAATATTTTGATAGCTGTATTTCACTATAATTGGCTTCCTTTTTAATTCTATATATTTTATGTATTTAAAAACATTATTCTGAGCAAGGTTCATGGTCTTCAGCAGACTGCCAAAGAGGTCTATTATCCCCCCAAACCATTAAGAACTCCTGCTTTACATGGACAGAAGTAAAATAATTTCTACCACATATTAAACAAAAGTTTAGGTAATTTCTCTCCTGAGAAAACCCTAAAGTTTTAGTGTTTTTAAAAAAAGAAGCATTACATTATATTAAATGACAAAGTAGATTATTTGGATTATTGGATTATTTTATAAAGAAGAATTTACAACAGGAATCCTAGTCTTAGTGCTACTCAATATGTTGTCAATATTTTTTTTATAATGAAATAAAGCAGGCAGCGTTTCTCAGAGTCATCTATTAAAATTAAATTATAAACTTGAAAGCCATCCACAAAAAAAGCAATCACACAAAATAAGGGATAAAATCTTACATAAGATTTTAGTATGTAACAGAGCTAAGAACAAATGAATTGATATGCTCCAGACAGGCCAAGAAAATGCTTTTATTCTGTGCCCCCTTGGCATACTGTACTCATGCAGGAAAGAATGTCTTAATATGAGAGTACATTGGACCTCGAGTCAGAAGAGACTCAGAGCCAAACCCTTGGTCCAACATTTGCAATGAGAGGAAGAGAAGGGACTAAACATTTCTTTTTTTTTTTTTTTTGGTGAGGTAATCGGGGTTAAGTGACTTGTCCAGGGTCACACAGCTAGTAAGTATCAAGTATCTGAGGCCAGATTTGAACTCAGCTCCTCCAAGACTCCAAGGAGCTCTATCCACTGTGCCACCTAGCTGCCCCTGGGACTAAACATTTCTACAGTCTTTAATATGCCAGGCATGGCACTGAGTGCTCTTTTTTTAAAAAAAATATTATTTCATTTGATCTTCACAAAAACCCTGGGAGGGAGGTGCTATTATTATTCTCATTTTACAGATGAGGAAACTGAGGAAAATAGGGGTTCAATGACTTGCCAAGGTCACACAGCTAATGGGTGTTTGAGGTCAGATCTGAACTCAGTTGTTTCTGACTCCGAGTCCTGCACTCTATCCATTGCTACCACTTACCTCTAAATGAGCAAAATTCTTTCCCTATTCATCTCATGGGGTCAAAATTACAAAACTCTTTGTAAACTTTAAAGTACTACAGACATGTGAGGTGGTATTAATTTGAGATACATTTTCCTAGTGAATGGTTTTTTAAAATCATTTTTAAGGGCTAAATGTTGAAATAGTGTCAGTGATGGTAAAGGTTAGGCTTGCCCACAGGTGCAGGAGAGCTGAAAGCTCTCATGGGGGCCATTGGAAACACATGGCCTTGGAGACTAGAGGGAATGGAGCGGAAGGAGTAGAGCCCCCTCTCCTTGGAATTAATGACCTTGCCACTTGGCACCAAGTAGTGAGTTTTTTGTCTGACACAGGAGGGAGGACTGGTCATTTTGACCAAACAGAAGAGAAAATTCAGAAGAAATACATGAGGGCCAATATACATTTGGAGCCAAGCGACATAGCGCAATTTAAAATCTTGGCTTTGAGCTACTCAACATAGGTGGTTTTTGGAAGTGAAAGAGATGCTTAGGCTGTAAGTCAGGTGTGCTGAAACCAGGGACTAAAAATCTAAGTGTACTCATGGTAGTGACAGGAGCTGAGCATTCCGAAGAGAACATCCAGTCTTTGTCAAGAAACAGCTAGGAATGAAACAGGCAAACTGATCAAAGCTATCATGATCAATGAAGCTGACAGATTTATAAAGAAAACCTTTGGGGGTTGTAAATTGTATGTGTGTATATGGAGGGAAGGAGAGAGAAAGAGAAAAAGAGACAGAGACAGAGACAGACAGAGAGGGAGGCAAGGAGGAAAGGGAAGCGGAGGGGAGGGGAGAGGAGAGGGAAAGCATTAGGAATTGAATTCATTAGAAGAAGGTAGGGTAGGACTCTATACCATGTTTTAAATACATACGCATGTATATTTTAAGTATATAAAACTTTAGCTTTTAAATACACACACACACGCATACACATATAACATATATTTGAAACATGGTATAGACCTATCTAGATTTTTCTAATGCATTCAACTCCTAATGCAATATATTTACATTATATGTATACACACACACACATGAATACATATGTATACAACATCTACATCACAAAGGTTTTCTTTAAGTATATATGCATGTGTGTATATACATATATATGCACATACTTAAAACATGGCATAGTCCTTCCTACATTCTTGGGAAATGAAAGACAACGAGGAATGTCATAACAATAATAATGTGACTGACTTTATGTGAGCCAGGCATCTAGAGACCTTAGAGTCTGTCAGCCTTGATTGACTCTTTCCTCCTTCCTGCCAGAATGCCAACCTTGCCCAAGTTCTCCATTGTTTCTGACCAAGTGATTGTCAAGCTCTCGAGGACCAGTTTCTGGAAAATTTTCAGTAAATTTCAGTTGTTTTTTGTTTTTAAGAAGAATCATTACCCAGTATGGCTAAAATGTTTGCCCTCTTCAACTCCACTTCATATAATTCTTGGGTTTCCTCAAGATTCAGCTCAAATGCCACTTTCTATAGGAGACCTTTTCCAGTCCCCCTGCTAGCTTCTGACACCTTCCCCTCCAAAGTTACCGTCTATCCACTGTGTATACATCTTTGTTATAGCTCTTTATTTACTTCTTGTCTCCTCTATTAAAGTGTAAATTCCTTGAGGGCAGGGGCTGTTTTTATTTTTCTTTATATCCCAAGTGTCTGGCACAAAAATCAGTACTTAAATGGTTATTGATTATTAAAAATGAGAAGGGAAAAAACAACCCATAACTACATAAATTTTTCACTTGATTATTTGAAAAAAATATATTTAGTGCCAGCAATAGTAAATACCTTCAGGACTAAATGTTATATTCACCATAATTTTTTTTATTTTTTATTTTTTTTTCACCATAATGTTTTTGAAGGAAAAAAAAATTTAAGTAAATTTCCTAAGAAAACTATTCTAAAGGAATCTTCTATAAAATGGACCAAAAGGGAGCTTTTATTAAACTTTCATAGGATAGGAAACTGATCACTGATTGTTCTATAAAAGGCAGTTTCATCTAAAATACTCTTGTATCATTTGGGCTGCCAGGAAAATTTAATCATCGTTGATGAAAACTGGCACTTACAATTGCTATGGCCTCTTACCCCTGTTCATAAGCAAGTCATCGGTCATTCCAAATACACTATGTAGGATGTTTCTAAATTCAATGCGATCCAGGCCTTCTTGGATACCTTGTTCATTTCCCTTTTCCATAAATGAGTAAAAAAGTTTCACAAGACATTCCATTTCATTTTGGTTGACTGTGAAATTAAAAAGGAAAATTAATAAAATTTTAATTTAATGTAATATGAAGGACAGTGGGTAAAGAGCTGGGGAGAGGTGTATCCTAATGTTTTTTTTTTTTTTTTCTGCTGCTATTTTGGCGAACAGGTCATTTAATCTCTCAGACCCTTATTTTATTTTCATTTATAAAATAAAGGAATCAGGCTAAATGATCCTTCATCTTTTCTAATTCAACATTCTAATTACTGAGTTCTAAATTCAGTTCAGTTCAGTAAGGATACATAGCAGAGTAATATCTAGGAATTTTTGTGCTTTGGGCAAGTATGATAAACTGCAATGGTGAACAATCCCCTTATAAGAAGGAGAGCTGGCATTTAGATAGCATTTTAAGGTTTGCAAAGTACTTTACAAATATTATTTCATTTGATCCTCACAACAACCCTGAAAGGTAGGGGTTATTTTCATCCCCATTTTACAACTGAAGAAACTGAGGCAGACCAAGGTTAAGTTACTTGCTCAGTTACACAGCAAGTAAGTACCTGAAACTGCATTTGAACTCAAGTCTTGCCAACTCCAGATCTCAAACTCTATCCACTGTGCCCGATAGCTGCTGCCTTATGAGAGGAATGTTGGAATAGGGAATGGCACAGCCTACCATTTTGTAACTTTGCATTTTAACTATTTTGCTTGCCTAAATGCTAAATTCTGGTGTTCTCTTTTGCTGAAGGATTACAAATACTTTTAGCACTCTCTAAATTCCAATCTCTGGGGGAAAAATCCCTATTCTTCCCACTCTATTGCCACTCTGGTGTCTGGTAGGGGACTGTGGAGATTATGTGTGTACATATCTATATCTATATATGTATATATAGATATACATATGTATACACACACATATATACATATATTTATACATACATACATACATGCATATACATATATATGCACACACACACCATGGTCCTTTCCTTTGTAAACTTACATAATCTTGGAGTTAGCAAGGGAGATAAGACTTAATAACTATCTGTAGAGGCCATGAGATGGTATATAATTTGCTGTAATTAAGTTATTCTTTATTGATGCCTTTTGTTTTTGTATCACATTCCTTTCTGATTATATACTTTCCACCTCCTACCCTGAGAGCCTTTTCTTTAAAAAAAATTTTTTTTAATTTTCTTTTTTTAAAAAAAAGAAAAAGAAACTCAAAGTTTGGCAGAATCAACCAACATTTCTATTGCATCTGGTAGAACATGGAACATGGAACTCAGAGGCTCTCATCTCCCCAAAGAAAGGAGAGGGGTATATATTTTTTAAACTCTTCCCTGAGCCCAGTCTTGGTCATTTTAACTATTTATTTGGTTTGTTTTACTATTCTTTCCATTTACACCCCTGTAGTCACTGGGTATACTGTTTTCCTGATTCTACTTAATTTGTTCTATATCAGTTCATATAAGTCAAATTATATTTCTCTAAATCTTCATATTTATCATTTCTTACAACACTATAATAATTGGATTACATTCAAGTACCAGTTGGTTTTTTTTTGGCCAATCCCCAAGGCATTTACTTTACTACAATTCTTTACTAACACACATACACACACACACACCTTTACAACCAATATATTGGGGACCTTTCTTTTAATTTCTTAGTAAGCATTTGCTTAGCAGTAGGATCTCTGGGTGAAGGGGTCATTTTGAAAAAATGATAATTCCAAATTGCTTTCCAAAATGACTGGATCAATTAATTCATGGTTCTACCAACAGTATATTAGTATGTCTATCTTTTCATAACTCCTCCAATATTGACTATTTCCATCTTTTCTCATCTTTGCCAATTTGCTGGGTATGTGGTAGAATCACAGAGTTGTTTTAATTATCATTTCTTATTACTAGTGATTTGGTATGGTCATATGGTCATTAATAGTTGCAATTACTTTAAGAATGGTTTGTTTATACCTTTTAACCACTTAACCATTGGGTAATGGCTTTTGGATATATACGTATCTTAGCTCTTGGTTTTTATATATATATATATATATCTATATATAAATATGTATACACATACACATATACATACACACATATATATGCACATAAATATTTGCTAATTCTTTGTTTTTATGAAATATCAAGAAATATTTGGTGTGACAATTTCTTCCCAATTAAGTTTCTCTCCTTATCCTAGATATATTAATTTTGTGCATGGAAACCCTTCTAAATTTCATCTCATCAAAATAATCTATTTCACCTTTAGTGTTTCCATTATCCAATATTTGGTTAAGAATTATCCACCATCATCTCTTCTAACTTTTTTAATTGTGTGATTTTTAATATTTAGGTTGCAAATCCATTTTGAGCTTGTTATGGCATGTAGTATAAAATGTTAGTTTACATCTAATGGCTGCCCGTTTTCCCAGCGGTTCTCATCAAATATGGAGAGATCTTGCTTTTTAGAACCTGACCCCTTTCTACCTTACACATTACTGTCCCTCTACATTCATTTCATGATCTAGCTCTCCCAGCCTTCTTCCTGTTTCTTACACAGGACAGTCTATGTCCTAACTCTTTATCTTTGCCCTGGCTGTCCCACGTTCCTCAATACTTTCCCTCTTTACCTCCACCTGTTTCCCTGGTTTCCTTCAAGATTCAGCTTAACCTATACCCAAAACACATCAAAGAAAGAGGAAAAGGACCCATTTGTACAGAAATATTTATAGTAGCACTTTTTGTAGTAGACTCAAACTGGAAACTAAGGGGGTCCATCTATTGGGGAATGGTTCAACAAACAGTGATATGTGCAACTGTTGTGAAATATTATTCTATAAGAAATGACAACATGGACAGTTTTAAAGGAGACTGGGAAGATTTTTATAATTTTATATAGTGAAGTGAACAAATCTAGGAGAGCAATTTACATAGTGACAAGATTACAGAGAAAAAGCAGCTTTCCTTTGAAAGGCATTAGAATTTTGATCAATGCAATTATAAAGGGGGGAATGGGGTGCTATGTGCCTTTATTTTGCCCATATAGATGATACGTATCCACATGGGTATGCCTAGATGTGGCTCGAAGGGAGGCAAGAATACATATTTCTAGAGTCTCCTCTCCCCATCCTTCTCCAAAGGATATTTTGGTTCCTGCTAGGAGAAGAAACAAGAATTAGAGCCAGAGGCTGACCACTCTGGTCTCCTCAGAAAGAAGGGGGTACCAGGCTAGAATTATATCTATTTGCTTGCTTAAATATTTAGTGTAGGGACAATAATTTTTAGATTTATGCCACACTTGTGGTTGCTATCCCTTAATGGGGAAGATGTGCCCCAAGTTAAATATTCAAGGTTTAACTCTCTCTTTACCAAATGCCAGTTCTACAACGAACACACATAGCAAATAAACTTATTTATCCAAGTAGATGGCAAAATTGGTATCAGAGAAAGTATGCATATGAGAATATAAAACCAGAAAATAATGAATGAATGAGGATGCCCATTGAGAGTGAAATAACTCAGCTCAACTGAGTCTCAGATCTCACCCAAGTCTCTAGTGTAGTAGGCTGGGAATATGTTGGCTTCTTTCCAGAGTCTTTCTCTTCCTTCAGAGACATGAAGAGGGTTGGGAACTCTGTGTATTGTCTACTGAGGCTGAAGGCCAGACCAGGATCTCTCTTCTTTCTTTTCTTTTTTTTTAAAAATTAAATCGATTTATTTATTTTTAGGTTTCAACATTCACTTCTATAAGTTTTTGAGTTCTAAATATTTCCCCTCCCCAAGACAGCATGCAGTCTGATATAGTATATATGTGTGCAACCATATTAAATATATTTCCACATTAGTCATGTTGTGAAAGAAGAATCAGAACAAAAAGGAAAAACCATGAGAAAGAAAAAACAAAAAAAGAGCAAGAAGTCTGCTTTGATCTGCATTCAGACTCCATAGTTATTTCTCTGGATGTGGAGAGCATTTTCCATCATGGATCTCTCTTCTTTCAAGCTCTTACCAACTCCACCCCTCACGCAGGAGTGGAACACTGAATAATCAATCTTCACCAATGAGGAGATTGGCTTTGAGCCACCCATTATACAGTGATAAATGAGTCCAGTAGACCAAAGATGAATTATGCCAACTGTGTCCTTCCAGAGATGTAATGGACTTAAAATGCAGAGAGAGGGTGGTTCATATTTGGACATGGATAATATGGGAATCTGTTTTGCTGAACTGTTCATGTTTATTGTGAGGGTTTTGATTTTTTTTTTTGTCTACTGAGAGAACAGTGGTAGGAAGAAATCATAAACATGTTGAAATAAATTAAAAAACATGCATGCACAAGCAAGAGCGCTACACACACACAAGACCTAACTTCCATCTTCTGTAGGAAGCCTTTCCTGGTGCTCTCAGCTGCTATAGCTTCCCCCTTTAAGGTTATTTTCTATCTACTCTTTATGTAATTTGCACACGCCTATTTATTTACGTGTTGTCTCCCCCCTAAGAACATAAGTCAAGGCAAGGATCTTTTTTTTCTTGCCTTTTTTTAATATCCCCATTGCTTAACACAATACCTGGCCAACAGTAATCACTTAATAAGTGATTGTTGATTGTTTCATTGATTATCAGACTCTACTCTAATGGGGAGACGGTCAAAGATAGCCTAGTCCAGAGAGTATGCACTGTTGTCCGCTGCCTACTCATGTGTATGTGTGGGGAGGTGAGTCTCCTTCTCCATCACAGAAATCTGTAATGATATAGAATGGAGGGGACCCTGCCCCCATTCAAAGCATGTATAGGTGGGATTATTTTGTCTGCTTACCAAGTGGTGAATAAAAGCCTTTTAATTGATTGCTGAATTGTACATACAAAAGGCCCTGACAGGTTGAATTGATCTGGCTTGCCTATGGGCAACTGAGGTACTCTAAGCCTGTGGGTGTGGAGAGATGTATAAGCAGTGGCCTATTCAACCTACACAGACAGCCATGTGGCCCAGAACACACGGCAATTCAGTTGCTTTACCTTTGTATTTGTTCTTTCTCCTCTTAAATGAATGAGTATGGGAAACGGTTGCAACTCTGTGAGCAACCAAAGTTCAGACGAACCACCAGAGGTCCAGGAAATAGAATCTACAACAGAGTTTGTTGGCAGCCAAGCCCAGTGAGCTACTACAGCTCTGAAGTGTGAATCTAGATGTACACAAATATTTAGCAGCTTTTTTCACAGAAGCCAAAAAAATGGCAACTAAGGGGCTGTCCTGTTGAAGAATGGTTAAATAAATTAAGGCACATCCATGTAATAGAAAATTATTGTGCACTACGAAATTATGAAATGAGCACTTTGAGAGGGAACTGGGAAAATCATTATGAACAGTAAGACCTATAAGAAGAATTTAAACAATGACAATATTATAGAAAAAACAGCTTTCAAATACTTTAGAACTCTGGTCAATGCAATAATAACCCAAGAGTCTAGAGGACTGAACATGAATCCTGCCACTCACTCACCTCTTGCCAGACAGGTGATAAACCTAAAATGCAGAGGTACATACATTTTGGGGCATGACGAAATAATCTGTTTTGCTAGACTACGCATGTTTATGATGTTTTTTTTTTTCTTAACGGGGGGCAGTGGGAAGGGCAGACAAATGCATGTAAAAACAATTTAAAATAAATACAATAAAAATGTGAAATTGGAGGGGCAAATGTTTATAGCAGATTACTTTAAATTTGAGCCCACTTCCTCTAGGGACCTAGGGGGCAGAGGTTTGTTTATTTAGCATTATTATACTTTTGTCAAAAACTTTTTCTGCATATATTGATATAATCATGTAGTTTGGAGTATTTTTTTTCAAACAAATGTTTTTTTTTTTTTCCTAGTGTTTAACCATCTTCGCATCCCTGGTATAACTCTAGCTTGGTTATGGTAAAAATCTTTTTGATATATTGCTGTAATATTATTGAAAGGATTTTAGTTTTTACATTAATATTGGTTAGTGAATTGGTCTAGTTACTTCTTTTTGTTTCCTTTATCTTTCCCTAGTATAGGTACCAGAACTATATTTGCCCTATATAATAAGTAGTGTTTTCTTTTTCAAGTTTTATATATGTAATATATAATCTGTATCTATTAATTACATACATTAAATAAATGTATGTGAAACAAAACTCATCATCCTTGATTTCATTCAATCAACTTACATTTAAATTCCATTTCATCCTGACTTTTCCAGATCACAGTGATTTCTCCCTGATCCAAACATCTATAGCATTTCTGGTTTAGAGCACACGTTTTAGCAATTAATTACATACCATAAGAATCAAAAGATACAAACCCAAATCAAAACTTAATGACATTTTGACTGAGTGGGTTAAAATAAATTTAAAAAATTAATAACTGAGACAAAATGAGGAAATGACATACCAAAATTTCTGGGATATAACCAGGGGTGTGTTGGCAAATGTATAAAAACCAGCTCTCCAAAAATTGTGACACGATTTGGATAGAATTCCTATCTATATTCATAAGGACCAGTTTTCTTAGGTATTCTCTTTATGGCTTGTTCAACTTCGTTTTCTAAAATTGAATTGTTTATAATTTCTATTTCATGTTCAGCTAATTTGAGTATTTTAAATATTTGTAGGTAATCTCATGTTTCTTTAAATTCTGAGTTTTACTAGCAGATAGAATTTGGCAAGTTCTGGTAATTCATTTCTTCTGTTTTTATTTGACCTGATTAATTTTTCACTTTAGCAATTTTATTTTCCTACCTCTTTTTCATCAGGTTAGCTTTTAAAAGAATATGAATGCTTTCTTTTCAAAGAACCAGCTTTTAGTTCTGCTTATCACTGTTTATAGTCCTTTTCATTTATTCCTCCTCTAATTTCCAATGTCTTTTGTGCTTATCTAAGATTTATTTTCCAGTTCTTAATATTGAGTTAATCTTGTTTTCTATTTTATTAATTTATCTTTTCAGAGATATATTTTTGCTTCTGAATGCTTTAGCTCTGTCCAGGTATGTGCTGGAGCCAGCTCAAACTCACTTGAGAGAGCTGATCATTAAATTTTCAACGTGAGCAATCATAACTTGGACCTTGGCAAATGCTACAAATCAGGGCTTAATTTATGGGCTTATTTATTTATGTCTACCCAAGCCTTATGACAATGATGGAGAAGATATTCATAAGGCAGATTAAACTTTAAATTGTGATAATTTTTGGAGAACTAGTTGTTACACCTTGGCCGGCATACCTCGTGGCTGTATCCCAGAAATTTGGTATGTCATCTCATCATTTTCTCTCATTATTAAATTTTATGATTCTTTGACCCACTTATCATTCAAAATGTCACTATTAAGTTCTGATTTAGGTTTACAAATCTTTTGTGTTCCTGTACACAGATGGTATATAATTACTCACTAAAATGTGTGCTCTGTACCAGAAATGCTATAGATGTTTTCATCAGGGAGACAACCATGTGAGCTGGAGAAGTTGCGAAGGCTTTTTAAAGATGAAATGACAAAATGGAACTTTAAATGGTAAGGTGATTAAGAGAAGTCAATGATGATGTGTTGTTTTAGATATGTTGTTGTGTTTTGATATATAAACTTCTGATATCTTTATTCAAGTTACAGTAAGAATATTTCCACAGAAAATTTCAAAGTCATGAAAATTACATTCATACTTGCATATGAACACACACATATATACATAAACACCATTACATGATGTACTGTGATTAATATATGATTACTTTGATTGAAATCACAGCACAGAGCTATCATGTTCCTTCCAGAATCCAAAGACATCCTGCTTGTTAAAAAAATCCCCAAGCCTTTAAAATGGAAAAAAAAAAAAATAAAGAGAAAGTGGACTTGGTGGGGCCACTTTGTTGGGGCCCATTCTTCCCAAGGATGTAGGTGGTAAAGGGGACAGTGTGATTCACCAAAAAAATCAACTTCAAGCAAAAGCAACTACTCTCTAATCGTTTATTAAGCATTCATTTTGTTAAAGGCACTAGGCTTATCGCTGAAGATTTAAAGACAAAATTCTATTAAGCAACTAAATTCAATGGAGTCATTCCATGCACCCAGTATTTCCTTCTATGGACTGGGAACAACTGCTAATTAATTTTAAAAATGTTGGTGAAAATATTTGTAGGCCAGAGAGAGAACAGTAGACTTGTGAAACTCTCTCCACTGGAAAGGATTCATGGTGAGGGGTGGCGATAAGCCTATAATTTAGTGGGCACTGAGAGGCCAAGTGAATTGCTCATGGCGAGCAGAGCCATCCAGCTAATATAGGCCAGGGTCAGGCCTTGAATCCAGGTTTTCCTGACTCCATCAACTGGGCCACCCTGCCTCCTGAAGCATAAATACTATTATTTTGTTGTTGATTTAATCACAGATCTTTTAAAAATGTATCCATAAGGAGCTAAGAGGATAGTAGAATACTTCTTTTTCAGTACTGTATGCTCCCTACAATGCTCCTCATGAGGCAGTTTGATGTATATGGGAGGGAGCCCGGACCACCTGAATTCATGGAGCTGCCTGAATCATACTTGGCACGTGACTCCTTGTAACTGCTCAGAGCTCCGAACAACTATTTCAGATTCTAAATTGCAGACCTGCAGTGGCAGAGGAAGTTCCCTGTACCAATGAAATAACAGATCCAGGCCATAGACCTCTCTGCCCCTAACAGTGAGTAAAAGCTACTGTCCCATAGAGGCAGATGTCATATTCAGGTTAAGCACGTAGCTTAAGTCACGTTCCAGGTTAATCCAGCTAGATTTCCTGGTAGTACTCACAATGTGTGGCTGCTTTGCTCAGGGCTGTTACCACCTTCTTGAGGTCCCTCAAGTTGATGCCACACCTCAGTCTCTTCAGACTCATGGTCTGAGCCAACAACAAAACCTTGGAGAGCAGGGGGTGCTGAGGCTTTCACAGATGCCCTCTGGGGCACCTATAGACAAGACAGAATGTCGTCACACCAACAACTTGGAAATCAAACAAAGAAGATTCCGAAGGCTGAACTGAAAACACGCCAGGCCTCTGGGGCAGGAGGGGAAGCCAAATCCAAATGGGAAAGCAGGAGTATCCAGTACAACAGCAACGGGTGATGGAATGGGTTCTGGCTTCCAGGGAGCTATTAAGTTCAGGACAGAATCACTACCAAAACCCCATTAGCGCTAGTTTTCCTCACGTGTTTAACAGAGATCACACTGATCATCAGAGAATTATATTCCATGCTGATGAGAGGGAAACATGTTACAATGGTTTGAGTTGTTTCATCGGAGAGATAACAAGGTCACCATGGCTTACTTGGGGACACGGTGGGACAATTTCAGACTTGAAGGTCACCTACAAAGTGCAAAGGGCCCTAGGCCTCAGGCCTCTTTACAACATATCCTACAGTAGGGGTGTGTGTTGTGGGGGGGAATGGGAGTTTTTTTCCTCCTTTTTAACCCACATCAGTATCAGAGGCAGAGCAGCTGAACTCAGTATCAGGATATACAAGTTCCAAGGGCCTGACCCCTCCTAGCTATGTGACTCTGGGGCAGGTACTAAAATGAGAATGTACAGCCTACCTCTCGGTTGTGCTGTAGAAAGCACCCTGCCAACTCTAACATGTTACATCAATCTGAATTATCATATGATCATCAAAAATGCTTCCTACTTATTGGGTCTAACCAGGTAAACACTCTTCCACCAAGCAGTGTCCTCTGTAAATTTCAGTCAAGGAACCAAGCATCTTGCAACCTCTACAAAGCAGAGGCTGCTTTAGCAGAACCTTTTGGGGAAAATAAAATAGTCCTTTTTTTTTAAATTCAAGATTTGATGGGCAGGAAAAATTTGATCTGAATCTGTTATAGCATTATATAGCATTAGTTCTGGACAATGTCAGCATAAATATTCTAGCTGGACCAGACATTTTGTCCTTGTTTTTACTGGAGTAACTCTCTGATAAGCCACTGTCCAGAGGAGGGCAAACAGGCTGGGCCCAAGTCCTAGCCTGGAGATCTGGGGAGACACAGTAATGGTCCTTAAGCCTTTGTACAAAAAGGGATGAATTTCTGCTTGACCTTGGGGAGGGGCAGAACTGGGGGAAATAGTTATTAGTTGCATATTAAGGCTCAAAATAAAAAATTTCCTAAGTTATAGTCATTCAGAGGTGGAATGAGCCACGCCGAGAGGGTGAGGTTCACACTTCTATGCAAGTCTCCTTCATTTCAGGCAAAGGTGAGATGACTTTTGTCATCTGCCAACTACCTTGTAGAGGATAGATACTAGTTCATGCATGGGTTGCACTGGACAGCCTCTGAGGTCCCTTTCAACTAGGATTCTGACACCACGTGAGGAAAGCTGGTTGAAATTCTGTTGAATTCCTATCTACTGTGAAACACCGAAAGGACTAATGGAGAATTTATGTTTAAAATCTGCAAAGTGCTCTGAACTTTTATCTCATTGGCCACTCACAACAACCTGGGGAGGTAGGTACTATTATTATTTGTTTTGCAGATGAGGAAACTGAGGCTAACAGCTGTGAAATAACTTGCCCAGGGTCACACAGCTAGTGTCTGAGGCAGGATCTGAACTCAGGTCATCCTGACTCTAGGCTCAGCTCACTATCTACTGCACTACCAGTTGCCCAACCTTCTCCAGCCTGTGCCTAGGCCCATCCAATCTTTGGGGACTACAGAAATGTTGCCGAATTGATTGCTATTATAAAAGAATGCTAAGGTCCCAAAAGTCACATAATTTTCTTTGAAATGTAAAAGTGACTCTTACATGGCATTAAATTGCTGAGCCCCCCCCCCCCCCGCTTTTCTAGATAAGGAACTTCTGGTTTTGATCTTCTTTGATTTTAAACTGAAAAGCTGTTATAAGAAAAACAACAGTTGAATCTATCACTGAGGTCCCAGGACAGTGCTTTCCCACTTAATTTTTCTGAGATTCTATTTCTGAGATTCTGGCCACATAAATACACTCATCTGACAGTGAATGAATAAATTCATTCAGGCCCTGACCTTATTATATTTTGTAAAACCCAATATCCTGATGATTTCTAGAAACCAGAAACAGTAAATAGTAAACTCAGGGTCAAATCAGTACAAAATCCACATTTCTACCTAAGCACTAATTCCAAAATTGTCTGCTAGTTGCTATCAATCAAGGGATTTCCTCACGTTCACAAAACTAGTGGTCAAAGCTTATAAAACTTGGGAGAAAGGCAAAATTTGTGAGTACCTTAGTAAGAATTTGGAACGAATATAATTTATAAAATACTATCACCCTATCCATTTTTCTTCCTGCACCCTTTATTGGAAGACTGTTAAAAAGATAGTAATCACCCTTTATTGGAAGACCGTTAAAACGATAGTAATCAGATAAACAATCAAATAGTCTGGCTTTCTTTCTAGATAGTTAACACTGCAGTGCAGCACTAAAACAAGCAGACAACAATCCTTGTCTCCAGGTAATACATAAATATCCAACGCAAAGAAACCCAGCATTGCTGGCATTGATGATCAGTGTTCCTGGACAAGTCTGTAAAGCTTGACAAAAATTATCTGAACATGAGACAGCTAATGAAAGAGAGGTGTTTTATACATATTAAAATTGGTACTTCCATAGTAATACAAATAATCTCCTATACTTATCTTTTTACATTTTTGTTACACAAGACCATTTTCCTGAAACAGTTAATTTGTATATAAAATGTCATTCTTCAATTTCCTGTCTCTTGGTTGGCACCAGCATCACTGCCATTCAAGAAATAACTAAGTGTTGAGCTCTAAAGATGAAGCCTACTTAGCAATCTGATGCACACAGCATTACTACAGGACTCAAAACATCTCTTCAGAAATCTGTTCTCTCACTGCCGGAAGGTTGGGGGTAGGGAGGGGCTGCTATGCAATTGGTCTCCCAAGTGTTTTTGGGTTTTCCATTTTCTTTGTGACACACAAAGGGAGCTGAAATGAACACAGCTATTTTTTAGCAAAATAGCCATTTATTCAGCCTCTTGTCATGCCAAAATATTCTGTGCATTAAAATACTATAGTTAGAACACCCTTTATAACAGGCACAATGGACAGTAAATTATATTTCATGTAACTTATAAAAGTGTGAAGTAAAAATGACTTCTCAGTTCCTTTGAACATCACTGGTAAACATAATTCAGCAGCAGACATTTGAGGCACCCAATCTTAGTAAAATATGCCACAGGAACAGCAACCATGTCATTCTTACGTCACTTTAATCCCTGTCTTAATTCAATATTAATATATAAAGACAACAAACTTTTCAAACGGTATATTTACTGAGATTCTGGCAGTAGTTTTATGTAACAAGACATATAGCATACTAGGCCTGCCACTTAACTTGCTCATAGCAAATCAGCTTCAATATGAAGCCGTTAAATATCAAAAACCTGCTTTTTACATGCTAAATATTTTCAGCAAGTGTGCAATTAAACACAGTTAATGAACTTATTATATAGCAAGGATAAGGAATTACACACTTGAAACAATGCAGCCGGAACATAATTCATACAAAAAATAATGGTCACTGGTTACAATAGAATTTCCCTGGCTAGTTAAAACATAAAATAGTATAAAACATGCAAAATATTTCAGAATATTTTAGCCATCTATACCAAAAAACCAGTGTCTCTATGAAATGATTCCCTCCAAAGTGTAACCAAAATTAATTCAAATTATGTAACATTCTACTGCTAAAAATATTCAAAAGATTGAAGTGGAGGTAAGTTTCCTAGGTTTCAGAGAGCTCACTCATGCTTCCAGGTGCTTTCTTTGCTACCTAACGTTGCTGGCAGAGAGCCAAGCTCTAGAATGCAAAGGGATAGACTGCTGCCACCCAGCTCTTGGCCTCCCTAGAAAGCACAGTGTCTGTCCTGACTGAAATAGATAGGATGTGCAAGGATCAAAAGGCACACTATTCAGCTAGCTAAAATAATAACGACACCCTCCCATCCCACCCCACCCCTTCCCCCAGGTAAACAAAAAATTAAGGGGAAAAAAAAAATATACATCTACAAAAGTAAAGATTTTGAGGGCATTAATGTCATGCCCTTGATTTAAAAAGGCCAACTGTAGTCATCTGGGTGTCTCTGATTTGTCACTTTAAACACACCCTAAAGATGCATTTAGATTTTATGTCTACTGATTTAAAATTAGATACTTCCTGTTAAAAATACTCGTTATCTAAAAGATTTTACTTTATTTCCAAATATCTCAAATATCAGTTGGACTCTAGTGTATTATTTCCCAGAACTAAGAATTCTGGGAAGAAAAATCAAACCAAATAAAAGGTGAAGGTACCCCATGTAATAAGCAGCAGGCAACAATCATGGCCTCATCTGGCCCGCGGCCTCAGGCTCTAAAAACACAGGAGCACTCATGCATTTGGGTAGCAGAAGCCGTAACTTTCACAGTTGAAATTTCCTTTAGACATTGCACTTTCTGGCAGGGAGATCTCGGGGGTCCTAGGGTTATGCCGACTCTGGACCTGACCCGGTGGCCTTCTTTTTCTTCTTCTTGCCATGTTTCTTGTGTTTCTTTTTCTTTTTTGTCTTTTCCTTTGAAAGAATGATAAAATGAGCATCATTGAAGATAAGAAAAATCTACTACATAAAACAAGAGAAAAAGAGACTTTAATAGGGAAATTACAAGTTATAATAAAACTATTTCTTTTTTTAATAATTTTTTTTGTTACATTTTAAGTTCCAAACTCTCATCCCCCTCCCTCCCCACGCTGCACTAGAGACGGCTACCATTTGAGACAGGTGTGTGTATGTGTGTTTGTATGTGTGTATAAAACCATACTAAGCATACTTCTATTAATCAGTTTTTTCTCTGGTGGTAGATAGCATCTTCCTTTATAGATCTTCTGTAGTTGACTTGAATATTTATAATAATCAGAGTAACTTAGTGCTTCACAGTTATTCTTCGAACAATATTGCTGTTACTGTACACAACATTCTCTTGGTTCTGATCATTTTAATAAAGCTTTTTGAAAACAGGCTGGCAATATGACCAAATAATGCTACTCAAACCAAGGAGGAAATAGTCTGAATTGTGATTTTTCTTGAAAATTCTATGCCAGGAAAAGAATGTCTAAAGCAGGAGTCCCTCCCCTGCCCCTCCCCCCAGCAGTTTAATGAAGTCTATGGATTTACTGCTACATCAGTAATCGAAAAAAATGTTAAATTTTAGTAAGAGGTTAGTGAAAATAAAGACGTAACCCCTCCCTCCCCCCATTCAAGCTCATAAACCCCCTGAAATCTACTGATGGATCCTTGGGGGGGTGGGTGTCTGGACTCTAAGGTTAAGAGCCTCTGATCTACAGTGGTACCCAACTTGTTAATTTCTCCTAGTTCCTGGACAACGGCCAGGTAAGAACAGCAGAGCACTGCTTATACACATGAGGAAAGTAACTACAGAGTTAACATGTTACCTATTCATTAAAAATCTAAGTAATACCCTCAGTGTTCCTTTTTAGGAAGGAAAACTTCATAAAGTTATGCTTTAATATCCAGCCCCAACTCATGATTTCATTTTATATAATTTCACAGAACCTAAGAGTTAGAAAGGACTTCAGCGACCAGTGAGATTAGCTTTATCTAACAAGAATGCTCTCTACAAAATACCTAAATAGTCACCTGAAAACAGAGGGAGACAGTGAGACATGTCAAGTCCTGGCAGGATTTAAATTTAAGTCAGAGGATTTAAATATTGGCTCTGCCACTTATGACCTATTGTGATCCTGGGCAAGTCACCATCTC